ACCAAAAATGTCATGAAACAAAATAATAATAATAATAATAAAATATGCCTCCAGATGAGGCCATATGGCTCCCACTCCTAAAAAGCGAAGGATGCACAATGGGGGAATCGCAGTTTGGCTCGGTGCGACCAGCACCCAGCACACCACCCAAACCAACAAGTTCACACGCCACCCCCCTCGACAGCCAGGCTCCCGCTGCCGACCCAACAACCGGCAGTCGGTGGGCCCCGCAACCACCCGACTCCCTTCCGCATTGGAGGGTGTCATTATTACCATCAGTTGCAGTGGGGGGGTGTGGCGTGGAAGAACTGAAAATAAAAAACACTCGCGCTGCTCCCCAACGCGGCATCGCTGAAAGCTAAAAATCACGTCATCCGCAAAGCAAACAGGGGAGCCACACAAAACCATCTGTCGTCTGATTAGCCTCAGCGGGTGGCACACTCCCCCCACCGCCTTCTCTCAGCGAAGCACCCCGCCCCCGCTGCAATACACATGAGGAAGCCGCCACCCCACCCACTACACAAACCACAATAATAATATATCAACGGGTCTCTCCCCCACTCCCAGCCATGCCGCCGCCCTTCCTTCCCACCAAGAAAAAAACGCACTAAAAGAATGTCTTGAAACGACACAAACCCATACAGCACCATGTAACACAACACACGAGTAGGGCGGATTTCCAGCCACACCCAACGTTCCCGTCACTTATCCTGAGTGGCCTTTGCTGGCAGCAACAACCAGCTGGACAGCCATCTCCGTGTCAAGCTGCACCTGGCACTGCTCCACCCTTCTCTCCCAAAAGTCTCTGGCAACCTGAAGTCTCGGCACCTCCTTTTATCCCTCCGTGACATGGCAATCCCGCCTGCCCGTCATTGGTGTACTCTCAGCGTGCTGAATGTAAATGATCTCCCACTTCATATTTTCCCTCAGCGCCTCCCAGCCCTTGAAGTTGCACGTCATGTACTTCAGAAACGCAGCCACCTTACCGGCAGTGGTGCGGTGGGTGTTGTGTTTTGTCACCTGCAGCCCGATGAACGTCACTTCACTCTCCGCACCGCTGTGCCCATCGGTGCCAGCATTTCGGGACCGCCCAGATTTAATTTATTTTTTTCTTGGCAGTTTGCGCTCGTTGCACCTCTGCCACGTAGAACGCGTCCAGCACGGTGACAAAACACTTGTTGGGCATATACAGAACGCCGGCTTGAAGTTCACTCTGGATTATTACTCTTCTATTATCTCCACCTGCCATGCACCCGACCACGCAGGGGTCCCTTGGAAAGCGGCCCACCGCATGCCCGTCCGCCAACACACCGGCCCGCGTTACTCCCTCGCTGCGGGAAAGGTGCTTCATCTGGCGAGCAACCGCTTCGGCGACGTCGCCAATCAGAAACGCCACGCAGCCCAAGCACTCAATATCATCAGCTGCAGACCTACTCCACGTTCCCACAACAGACAGCAGGCGGGACATTTTAAAGTTCTTCATTAGCACCCGCCTCCGCAATGTTCTTTTCGACCTCAACTGAAATGGGAAAATTCATGCAGCTTTCCGCGTCCCCTCCACTCCCCGCATTGGGCCTCACCACCACCGACGCATCCCTCACCACGCGCTCCTCCTCAACACACGCACCACCTCCCTCCGCACAAATATATCCTCGTAATCTGGCAAAAGGAAATTTTGTGCGGCCACGCAAACGCAGATCTAAGCACAATAAACTCCAGCCCCACACCACGGGTCTCCTCCTCTTCACACTCCTCAATCTTAGGTGTGGCGTCCGCCTCACTCCCACTCTCACTCCACAATACCTGAGGCCTGCTGGAAGCGGCGCCCACCAACCTCATCCCAAGCGGCTCCGCAAAGTGGCCCGACTCCACGTAAGTTCCACGTTGCATTCAACACCGACCGGTAGACCCTCTCATCCAAAACCACAGGTGCTGCGGCTGCCCGCCTTTCCCTCTCTGCCTCCTCCACCGCGGCAAGGGCTGCCTTCAGTTTTGTCCGTGTAATAGGAGAGACAATACTCTTATCTGCAAAGTCTTTCCAGTCTCGCAGCGTAGCCACCCTGCTCTTCGTAAGCTTGCGCGCATCTTCCATTTCTTTCTGTATGGCTGTGTAAGACGAAAAATTGAGAGTTTCCTCACGAAGCCTCTGGTCTGTAACGCATCCCGCACTTTCCTGCACAAACACCTCCATCGGCACATTTTGTGTCTTCATCCACCACGGATGTTGGGCCAAGATGTGTCCGAATAAAATCGTTCCGTCTTATATTTTTTTGGGAGCCAACTATTCCCTCCAGAAGCACTTCTTCTACCGAGCCGCTAAAAGCCCCCTGCTGTTTGCTTCCGCGCTCCGTCGCCTGTCAGCCGGTAACGTTGGCGCCATCACCGGGAATGCCGCTCGGTGCCATCAGAAAATTTGCGTCGCGGAGCATCCCACGCGCACCGCCAAAGTCAAGCAGGCGGGCACCGCTGTCCATAGCGGGCAGCTGCAACCGCGGCGCCCCGCCCCCGCTGCAATACACACGCGGAAGCTGCCACCCCACCCACTACACAAACCACGATAATAATACATCAATGGGTCCGTCTGTTTGCCCTCTCACCAACACTTAAAGCGAAGCCTCCACAGCCACCTCCACAGCCAACGCAAGATACCCAACGCAAACACCACCCCGCTGGCCACACACGCGCATACACAAAAAGTGCGCCCGCAACCATCCAATGACACGTCACCCACACCGCACCGCCACTCCACGCCGTTACAGTTGACACTGCCACCACTCAAAGCGACACCACCGCACAAAGCGGCCCGCACCCGCAAGAAAAGAGAGGGATCCATAAGCACTCACACTCTTGTTGTGTCCCTCTTCTTCCCACCGCCATGGAAGAAGGCAACAGCAGCCACAGGCGGCACTGCCGGCAGCAACTACGAAAGAATCATCCACGTACACCGCAGTAATATAAACTTATCGTGTGTGTGTGCTTGCGGAAACGCAACGCAAAGAAAGAGAAGATTCGAGCATGGCATGAGCCCCCACGAACAAAAACACACGCAGTGGGAGTGCGGGACGGAAAGGCAGCGAATAGAGACAATTGGGGCTGGAGGTGGCACC